CAACTACTATAAACATTAAACACAACGAGTTTAGGATATTACAACTACTACAAACATTAAACACAACGAGTTTAGGAGATTACAACTACTACAAACATTAAACACAACGAGTTTAGGAGATTACAACTACTACAAACATTAAACACAACGAGTTTAGGAGATTACAACTACTACAAACATTAAACACAACGAGTTTAGGAAATTACAACTACTACAGACAAACAAAATTCAGTTGTTATTTTTAAAGATTTTCACCATTTCATCTATATTTGTAGAACAGAAATGGAGGTTATATTTTACTTCAATATCATCTCTGTGCGTTCGTTGAAAGTTTTGAGACTCTCGTCATTTTAAAGCTACCATATACTTTTATCCTCAATAAACTCGAATGTGATACCAAGAAAGTTTTAACGTAAATGTTCATTCATTCTTATAGCGCAAGCGCAAATACGGTTACAAAGTGTGTAGGGTGGTTTTTTTATAGCAGCGATCACCGACAATAAATTTTCGAATTCACTGTCCGGACAGACACGCTAAGCACGAGACCAAGTTTTCTGTGTGTGTGTGTGTGTCTGTTAAGATGTTCGTTAAGCATAAAAGACAAATAACAGTTCCGTCTTTGTCGTACTAAAGCTGTCACGTGTTGTTTTACGATTTGTTTGCTTGTTGTTAAGCGCAAAGCTACACGATTGGCTGTCTGTGCTGTTTCCACCACGGGTATCGAAACCCGGTTTTTAGTGTTATAAGTCTTCAGACTTACCGCTGAGCCACTGAAATATGCCTTTTTATGAGTGAAGTTAGTTTTGGAATTTCATTTTTATTCAAACTTTGCTACCCTTTCAACACCGGCCCGTCATCACCACCCACCGTCAACTTTTGGACTACTCTGTTACCAACGAATAATGGGATTCACCGCCACTTATAACGCCCCCCACGGCTGAAAGGGTGAGCGTGTTTGGTGGGAAGAGGATTCGAACCCGCGCTCTGAGAGTGCGAGTCAAGCGCCCTAACCACCTGGCCATGCCGGACTGGAATATTAAGAGACGCCCTAATGTATAAATCAAAATCAACTAATAAAGGACGCAGTGAAGAAATAAATCAACATAAGATGGAAAGAGAGAATGCAAT